TCAGAAACATTGATGTACAACTTCCACTGTAATTATTTCTTGGCTAAGTGTGTTGAAGCCTGTGATCATCTATAAATTGAATTTGATGCACCATACAAATACATGATTATACAAGAATACATTTAGAAACTATCAAAACGCAAAATAAGTACTTGAGAATAATTGGAAAATATCCTCAATAAGTCTTATCGTCGTAAATTCCATCTAATAACTTTCGGACAAGCAGACCAAGGATTAAAAATGTACCTGACATTGTAAATTTTAAGCGTAGCATTTCTAGCAACTTTTTCATTCAATTCTTTTAGTATTTTATTGTCGCTTCTAATCAATTTTTGATTTAGTTTTTATACCTATTTTTTCTTTCTAGGAACCTTACATTTCACTGTATGTAGTCTCATTTACCATCTTTAATCTAAGTTAGGACCTTTCTGAAAACACAGAGATGTGATTAAAGTTTCCTAATAGAAGATTATAAGTAAACAAAATGGAAGTTGTCAAGACTGAATGTTTCGTAGCCGGGCTTTTTATTAGTGGCAATTTAAACCAAGAGGGTCTTGATCTGAATTCAAAGGTCTTAAGAATGATGTTTGGTATAATTATGGAAAAGTTAAACTTGCCAAAACGATTGGATTCGTTGCATTTGGTTACCAGGGCAACCGAAAGTGAAGCTGTCTGCCAGCCTTTAAAACAGTTGCTTTTTTCTTAATCGCGCGAAATAAACCAAGCAAAAATCACACATTCATTCTGAAACTAGAATCGTTTGAGAGCAGAACAAAAGATTTCCACTTTCTCTTCGAAATCCAACTTCACTGCCCCCTTGATATGTTGAGTTATGCAAGTTTCTTATTCAAATGAAATTTTAATTACTGTAAAAAGCAATAGAGCTATTTCTTTAATTTTGCTCTAGTTCTCGAATTGACAGTCGCCCTGGTAACATGTAAATTACCAACATACTGAGTTAATAAGCTATTGTTGTGGTCAATTTTGCAACTGCTTCATGCCTCAAAGTACTCTACAAGCCCACTTAAGTGAATATTTCTGGGCAATCAGCGCGAGAAAAAGTAGTATTTTAGCACCTTGTTAATCCATCATCAGTATTATTAGTCATAAAATACAACATAAAAATGTATCGAACAAATCGATTACTGACTACCGTCGATGGCTCTACATTCAGATATTGTTTTTAAATAACGAGGTAATACTTTGAAATACTGACAATTTAAAGATTTTGAAAAAGTTTCAGCCCATTTATCAAAGCTATATTGATTTATTCAATAGCCATTCCCCCTGTTGTTCTTTAAATCTCCCCAGACCGTCCAAATACCTAAACATCTCTACAGAGTGAATACCTGTACGTAAGCGAGTCAATAAGTAAACTATTACTTATACACTGAGATTGCTGACGTTAGCTCACTACCAGACTGCCTGAAATAATTTTATTGTATATTGCTAGGCCGTATGAATAATGGCAAACCGGGACAGTACTACCCATGCTGATGTAGAGGGTATTGGAGAACCTCCGAAAAGAAAGTTTAGAGTGTTAAAGAAAAAGAATCTCCCCGCGAAAACAACGCCTTGGAAAGATATCCAAGAATTTCTGCCTGTTGATTTTCTCCTGTTAACAGTAAAGGACTGTGAACACCTAAGTTGCCTCTCATTTCTCAAAAGCATCGTGAGGAGTTACGAAATTACTCTTGGCTTTGTGTACTTCGGGTATAGTCGCAACAAAGATTCTTCGAAAGAGCCGAATTCGCCCAAATTTGCAGTGATTCAATGCTCAATGGGTGCCACCGGTCCTGGTGGCTCATTAGTTGTAGTCCAGAGTGCAGTTCCAGTCTTAAGGCCCAAAGCAGTCATCTGTGTGGGTTACTGTGGTAGCTTGTGCAAGACGAAAGCCAAGCTTGGTGATGTGGTTATATCTTCAAAGTTGATAACCTACGCTTACACCAAAAAAAGGAAGTGTGGGATCGAAGAACGCGGCAGTGTTGTTCCTCCAAATAAGTATATGGCTGGCCTTATCAAGGGCGCCGGTGCCGGATGGAAAGCACCTTTAAAAAACGAAAAAGATCTGGAAGTGGCAGTACGCAGTGATGGCGTATTTCTCAGTGGCCCTGAGGTGATTGATGACCCAAAAAGTCAAAAAGAATTGAAGATGCGATTTCCTCAAGGAACTGCCATCGAGATGGAAGGCGAAGGTATTGTTTAAAGCACTTCATAACTTTACTTAGAGCCCCAAATCCAATAACCCTAATGCGGAAAAGTTAATCAAACATTTTTCTGTGTACCATCAGTAGGTCTTCATATTTTGTCCGTTGTGTATGTTTGTCTTTTTTTTTTTTTTTTTTTGATAAGGAAGGCCAGGCTTGCCGTTTGTTTTCTTGAGGTTTGCATCCTGGAAAAATTGAATAGTTAATTTACATGACATCATGACACCGTTAACACATAGCTAAACGTTACATGCTAAATGATACGAAAAAATTATTTCCCTTAGCCCTTGAAGATTTGTGCTTAGCACAGATCATAGGCATTGCAACGAATCGTTAAATTTTGCAATTCATTCATCCGATAATTTTCAAAAACCACAACGTTAAATCGTGTATTAACAGGAAATAAACTCTTCTATAGGTCTTTACACAGCCGCTCATAAACATGGAATTGAATGGCTAGTTATCAAAGGAGTTTCAGACTTCGCTGACGGTAGCAAATCTAGCACTGATTCTTGGAGGCCATTCGCAAGTGTAATGGCAGCCTCAGTTGTTTTTCATATGCTAAATGACACTTATGTGTTTGAGGACTGGGCTCACTATGAAGGTAAGTGACTCTGATATACGATACCTTATGTTACTTTATGTGAATAATTATTGTTTTCTTATCACGTTGCGGTTGCATACAGCTAGTCTTTAGTGAGTAATCGACCAATTACCCACAATCTATAAGACGTGTTTTTTTGACGCATTTGGGTTATCTTTTACCATTCATTGGATTGAGCATCTTTGGTCTTTGCATGAGCATTTTTGTTCGTTTCAATTTTGGGAGGGACCTGTTAGGTATCAAGAGTTACAATTCGTGTTTCCCATCTATCTTCACCTCCTACGCGCTTTTTCCTTCAACCTCCCGTCTCCACAGCCCTTCCTTTACCGCCCATGGCAACTATAATCGTGTCCAAACATCAGAAAGAAAAACTTTGAGTGTTTCATTCAATTGTTGGTTAATTCAGGCAATAGCTTTTCAATCCTAAAAAAAGGAGTTAGTTCTTTTAGTGTTATTCTTGATTCAGATGATCGCATGAGTAACAGAAGGCGTGATGAAACATTTTGTGCTAAGTCTAATCGAGTTTCAGGAAGCAAATGAGAGAATTATCGATGTAACTGCAAAACAGGGAGGAAAAATTACTTTAGACTGTTTGTTACAGTACTGATGATATCCTTGTCGCGTTTTTAGATCCATCAAAGCGAAAGAGACGGTCGTCAACTACTGATGATGATACGAGAGCAAAGGTGACCAGAGGTAACTATTTTTTGCAAAGTGTCAAAAGTCTGAATTTGCTAACAGATACTTTCGAATAGTCTCTGAAAGAATCTTCAGAGGATTGAATAATCCGAAGTTTTAACTAAGGGAAACTTGAATTATTGCAATGTCATTTTAGATTTGTAACCATGAGAGGTCTTGGTCCCTATCTCAGAAAAGCCATGGGTCTTTTAAGGGTCATATATAATGTCTTCTCTCGAGTGCCAGTTATACTTTCGGCTATAAAACGATTGCTGGTTTCAATTTATCAACACAATTTTTCGGAGGAGACTGAGTTTCTGACATCCAGCATATGGGGAGGGGTGTGGTTGAGCTCTACAAAGGTGTTAAAGACTTGAATATTTACAATTCCCTATTTGTAACAGAGCTATGACAGTACTGGGACAATTACAACGTTCGTATCATTTTATAAGCCATGATCTGAATAAGACGATGTCGAGAACAATATTTCATATATTACCACGTAACTGTGGCTAAATATGGTATTCAATTCGCTTACTACCGCATAAATTATGTGACAAATGAGAAGATTTAGGACCTTGCCTGGAATTGCGAACCCAGTTACTGAAAGAGTTTGCGGTCCTTAATACCAAAAGTTCTGGCTTATCACCTTGAACAAATGAAAAATTATCACCGTGAACAAATGAAAAATTATGCAACTTCGGCAATTTCGTACGCTACAACGCGATACAATCCCGCTTTTAAAATTTGTGTGCTAGCCGGATAGTCATTCATCTCTCAGAAAATATTAGTTTCTTGCTATGTTCTTACGCTTAAGCCAGAAGAGTGACCCGTTGAAATAGAGTACTTCGCGTCTCTTTCGCGGAGGTAAAATAGAGGTCAACTTCAGTGGCCTATGAAGAGGTCTGCCATATATACCTAAAAATTATAATATACATCAACTTAAAGATTTATTCTTGTATTTCAATTCCTCCAATTCTCTATCTTGGCCCGCCATAAGCGGCACGTCCAGGTTTAAAAGAGTTTGGGCTATTTTGTCAAAATTGCAATGCGAACCCCTGAACAACTGTCATGACCCATTTAAAGCCCTTTAAAAAGGTCTTGTATGATATTTTTACAAACCAAAATATATGTCATCTTAAAGATTTATCCTTTTAGTTTAATTCCTCAAAGTTTCTTTCTTGGCTCGCCATAAACGGCGCGTCCAGCTTTCAAAGAGTTCGGGCTAAAAAATAACAAAAAATGTACATGACCTCTTGCGTGACAGCCGTTCAACGGATCGCATTACATTTTTGTCGTTTTAGCCCGAGCTCTTTTCAAGCTGGACGCGCCGCCTATGGCAACGCGTCCAGCAATCCAACCGTGATAACTGTACGAAAGAGAAGGATGGATGACAGAAATCGTGTCCAACAAATCAGAGAGGCGTTTCATTAATTTGTTTTCAAAGCTGGACGCGCCGCCTTGTTTTTCAAAGCTGGACGCCCCGCCTTGTTTTTCAAGCTGGACGCGCTGCCTATGGCAACGCGTCCAGCAATCCAACCGTGATAACTGTACGAAAGAGAAGGATGGATGACAGAAATCGTGTCCAACAATTCAGAGAGGCGTTTCATTAATTCGTTTCAATGAGCGTTTCATTAATTTGTTAGTTGATTCATCCAATAGCTTTTCAATCCTTAAAAAAAGGAGTTTGATAAGAATTAAATTCTTATCAAAGGGTAAACTTTGGGCACCTTTTTGTCATTTGAAACACTTGATGTAGATGATCGCATGTGTACGCAGAGAGCGAGATAAAATATTTTGCACGAAGTCTAATTAAGTTTTGGGTAGCAAATGAGACTGAGACGTCTACTTACCTTTTCATAGAATTCTCTCAGTTTATGGCAGTAGTTCCCTTTCAGTGGAGTTAGATTTATGTGCTGATAAGCGCTGCTATTAGGCAGTGAAGAGCACTCAGAAATGAGAATAAACAGCTCATATGTTTTAATGGCGGATACTCAACTCATTACATCAACATGCGCATGCGTTGCGCCTCACTATCTGCTGACCAGTATCTCACGGACACGATACTGATTATATCAACGTATGATCTCGTCATAACAACCTTAGTTTGTCCATATTCTCTTTGCCATCTTTCCTGTGCCGTCTTATACCTCAGGGTCCGGGTCGTAAGGTTGGAGATTGGTTCTCTTACCTTGGAACGACCATCTCTAACAACTAGAAAATTAATCTTCGTCTGAAATCGGTTGACTGTGAACTTGCGTGACGAACATATCCTCGAAACGAACCCAATCCGATGGATTTCCCCTGAAAGGCCTGACCTTCAACTCGGGCAGCTTTGTTTGCGCATCTTTTGCTGCCGTTTCCATTGCTAGCGTTTTTTTCTTTTTGCCACGCGCAACTCGGCATGAAACTTCTCCTTATAGAATGCCACCTCTTGTTGTTGTTTCTCTCGTATCACACCCCCCTCACGCTCCGATTGAGCCTCCCAATTCTTCTTCTCGATTGCGTTCTCCTTTTGTCCTTGTTTCGTCGACAGCACTTCGGAAACTCTGTCCCTTTCCTGTGTAAAAGGAGCGAAGACATTATTCTTGTCCTTATTTCATAACCGAACGTCTCCAGGCGGAACTCCGGAGTCCAACTTAAGGGTCACTTAGTGCTCTCCAACTGTGAAATAAAATCCGTAATATTTTATCGACTATCTCCTTCCTTAGCTATACGCCTCCAAATGGTCGTTTCTTTCAATGAGCTGGTCAAGTTGCTCCATTTAGTATTCCAGCCTCGTGATTCCTTTTTCAATGTTTCTCTCTAAACACTCCATAGCCTCTGATACTTGTTCTCCCTCTTCCATGGTCGCTAGATTGTTTTTCTACCCTTCCGGCCACTCGGTCAGTCCAAGTCTCCAAAATTGCTACACTTTCGTAATAACCCTGGTCCATGTCACGGCATCACAAATGTACCGAGCCTGTAGAGTACACTCTACTCTCAGTCGTCAAATCCTTTTTTCATCGTTTAGCGTCAACATTTGCCACTTCACAAACTTGGTACATTCTCTCTTTTAAGAAAAAAAACCTAGCACTTCAATCATCACGCCTCTTTTTTTCAATTTCAATTTAACCGTGAATGCGCAAGTGTTATGTCACGCAACCTCCGTTCGCACTCTCCTAAATAATAATAATAATAATAATAATAATAATAATAATAATAATAATAATAATAACAATAATGATAATAATAATAAAAGTCTTTACTAAGCACTCTAAACAACAAACGCGTTTAGTTGCAATGATATGAACNCCCCTGAACAACTGTCATGACCCATTTAAAGCCCTTTAAAAAGGTCTTGTATGATATTTTTACAAACCAAAATATATGTCATCTTAAAGCTTTATCCTTTTAGTTTAATTCCTCAAAGTTTCTTTCTTGGCTCGCCATAAACGGCGCGTCCAGCTTTCAAAGAGTTCGGGCTAAAAAATAACAAAAAATGTACATGACCTCTTGCGTGACAGCCGTTCAACGGATCGCATTACATTTTTGTCGTTTTAGTCCGAACTCTTTTCAAGCTGGACGCGCCGCCTATGGCGGGCCGAGAAAGAAACTTTGAGGATTTAAACTAAAGGGATAAAGCTTAAATAAGATATATATTTTGATTTGTAAATATATCATACAAGACCTTTTTCGAGGCCTTTAAATGGGTCGTGACAGCTGTTCAGGGGTTCGCATTGCAATTTTGACAAAATAGCCCAAACTCTTTTAAACCTGGACGTGCCGCTGGAGGAATTGAAATACAAGGATAAAGCTTTAAGATGATGTACATTATGATTTGTAAGTATATAGGGAAGACCTGTTCGTTGGCCACTGAAATTTACCTTTATTTCAACGGGTCGCTATTCAAACTTAAACGTAACAACAGAACAAGAAATTTATATTTTCTGAGAGATGAATGACTATCCGGCTAGCACACAAAATTTAAAAGCGGGGTTGCATCGCGTTGTAGCGTGCGAAGTTGCCGAAGTTGCATAATTTTTCAATAGGGACCTTACGCCGTCAGGACGGCAACGCCACGGAAGACGTCGATTAAAAAATTAATTTCTACTTTTAGTTAGAATTTCGAAAATAGGGACCTTACGCAGTAGGACGGCAACGCCACGGAAGACGCCGATTAAAAAATTAATTTCTACTTTTAGTTAGAATTTCGATAATGACTGCATGTGTTTACCACCTCATAGGGCACCAGACCTCAACCTCAACATAACGCATAAAAGTAGCGTTGAGGGCTAAATGGAAATTAAAATAATTTGCCGTCGCGGTTTCGGTTCGCATATGACGCAAATTTTGGTGATTTCACGTTGTTGTTTTGCAAAGGGCGGCTAAGAAATGAACAAAGTTTTAAAACGCACGTGCTGGGCTATTGTTCTTCCAATTAGATCTTTTGTTCTTTCACGTTCCCGTTGCTGTCGCCGTCGTGGTTTGCTTAAGGTCCTTGTTGGTTTACGGGAGGGGACAACGCCCATTCAGGCGTATTTTGAACTTTCCGATTTTTCGGAGAGAAAAAAGCGCGATAGAACTTTTTGACTTAATTTTCCGAAAAAGGTTCCTTAAAAGGTTCCTTTAGAAAAAATAAAACGAATTACGAAATTTTGGAACTGTCGGCGGATTCTCGAGAAGTACCATTTTTCTAATTTTCCTTCCCATTTCATTATTATCCTCAGTCACGGTTAAAGCTGGCGGACCATCAGATGAGGAGTTAGAAGAGCTTTCTCTGGAAATTCCTGTAAAATGGAAGAAATTAGGAGGACGCCTAGGATTTAAAAATGCCGAAATAACTGCATTTCATATAAATAATGAAGAGTTAGGCGAGAAGGCTTATTCTATGTTACTGGCTTGGAAACGAAAGGAAGCCTCAGATGCCACTTACAGAGTTTTGTACGATGCCTTGTGTCACAAACTAGTACAATGTAAATCTCTTGCACAACGGTTTTGCTGCGAATGAGATTGTAGAAGTTGTTTCTCTCTAGTCATCCTCTTTAAAAGATTGATCAATTTCTTCATAACTTCATTTTTGTTTGAGTACTTCATAGAAATAAACATTTTATCGACATTTAATTTTATCAATCCTCGAAAAAGAGAGTGGAACAACTGTTGTTTTGTAATAAACCTTAGCTATTGTGTTTCGCCCTATTGACTTAATGTTGTGGACAAACGCTTCTCAAAATATAAAAACTATTGCAACTTAACAATCAACGATGGTTTTGCGTGATCTGTACTCTTATGGACAACGATATTCGTCATCACAGTGGTCAAAACGTTGTGGACTCACGCGTCATCCATGTCTGAGAGCTGACATATACATTGTGAGACACGTTGACGCGAGCAGGGTTGTTTGTACTCTTAATCCTCAACAAAAGAAAATTAGCCAATCAGATTGCAAAATTACTGGCAGTTGTGTTAAAACGCTTTTTTTGTTTTCAATCCATGTACTTACAATTTCGATCCCTGTCCGTTCATCTACCTCATGCTTTATTTTTAATTTTCCTATAAAGCCTTCAGTAAGCGCGCTGTGCGTGCCTATTTTGTTGATACAATAAATGTCATAAATACAAAAGGGAGTAGGTTTCTACAAAATATGTAATGCAACTATGCTCAAAACGTCAGAAACTCTGAACATGGATTAAATCAAATCATCTTAATACAATAAGTGAGTTTTACACCACACAATGTATTTCGCTGACTGCGGACGCTAGTTTTCAGTTTCAAAATGGCGGCGACAGTGAAGAGAAAACCGGAATCGATTGTGCCGCCAGAAGAAAGTGATTTCCTTAGAATAACTCAACTGTAAGTTGCTCGTTTTCCCTCTTCAAAATAAACCTACAAAGAAGTCACTATCAGTACTAATCATCAAGACTTTTACCAATATAAGTTTTTCAATGTTTTCTCTTTTTGTCTGTACGTCATACGAGTGCCTGTTGTTTGCCTATGTTTACTTACTTTTCTGCTCCCATGTCTTTCTTTCCACTTCGCTTCGAGGTGATCTGTCTCTAACTGCTGGCAGATATCTACCTGCTTGCTTGCCAGCCTTTCGCGGTCTTCATCTGCCTTCTTGTCCGTCCTTCTGTCCGTATATCCGTCGGTATGCCCTTCTGACTGTTTGTCATATATCTTAGAGGTTACACTACAACAAAACGTCTCAACTGCCTTGTTGGTTTTTAAACTGCATGTGTAAGTTTTGTCTTTCTCGAGCAAAACATAAACAGGTTGGTCTAACAGATCAGTACGGTCACATTAGTATTTTGATAGTTGTCGGGGCCGAAAAAAATAGAACGTCCAGCCCGGCAACGATGTAATGAATCATAACATCTGTAAAAGAATTATGTATGAGGTGATGGATGGCATTCTCATAAACAGATCTAGGAATTGCTGATAATCTATTACGTAAAAAGAGTACGACTCGTAGTGACTTTAAAGTTTGTCTTACTGCAACATTTATCGCATTTTTTTCAATGTTTAGTCAAGACTTACCTGCCTAGTAAAGAACTATTAGAGGAGATTTCGTATAAAATCGCTTAACGCTGGAAACCACTTGGACAACGTCTAAAGATTGAGGAACCTAGGCTGGTCGCGTTTCACAAAGAAAATTTAGCACACACTGAAAAGACATATCAAATATTGTTTTACTGGAAAAAAAAAAGAGGGTTCCAACATGACCTACCTTGTCTTACTGAGATGAAGTCCTGTGTCATCCCTAGGTAAACCGCAAGGATCTGGCGGAATATGTCTGCCTTCAATGAGAGAATTAAGTGACTTTTAGTCACTGAAAATAAGTTATGGTATGAGTGTTTTAGAGGTAATGATACTCATAGCAGGTTTTTGCATATTTTTTTAAGCTGTAATCTCATAGCAAACTTAGGTTTCTTAGTCAAACGTTTTTTTTTTTTAATCTTTGTTTCATTTTTTAATGTGTATATTGCGTAAATTGTTCCAGACCTATTTTTACAGAATTCATATGCAAATGATCGAAACTATCCTCTAATATATTTGCCTGAGGTGCACACAGCAAAACTTGAATGGAATTATTAACTCGTTTAAAGTTTTGACAACATCTTTCTGCGAAGTAAGTGTAGAGTCCGTAAATCTACCAAGAACATTTAACGAATCATAGCACCCAGAAAAGCCCTAACTCCAATAAACCTTCATGATAATTCAAGTGAGATTGCTCAGGCTATAGCCGCGAATTCCTCCTGGTGATGTTGTCCTCAAAACAATAAGAGTTCTTTGATAAAAGAAACCCATGCTAAGTGGAGAGCATCATGGAAACCCATGCTAAGTGGACAGCATCATGGAAACCCATGCTAAGTGGACAGCATCATGGAAAACCATGCTGAGTGGACAGCATCATGGAAAACCATCATGCAAGGCCAACCTCATAGGACAGCATCATGGAAAACCA